GCGAACGGTTGCGGGCGGTTGCGAACGCTGAGACAACGGGTCGCGAACAAGGCTCTACCCCCAGACCCCCAGAGTTAAACGAGAACCCTTTGCCACGCATTCGGGAATAATAAAGTAGTAGGACAAACGCAACAAAAGGTCGGGGGTGTGGGCGGACCCGCTTGAATCTAAACCGTGTTGGATGATTTCTCCGACAGGACACTCTTGCCAACAAATGATGAGTTTCCACTAGCACTGAAAACGACGAAGTGGAAACATGTCCATTTAATTTACCGCTCCTGTTTGATAGAGAGGCTCCATAAATTAAATAGCGCTGTTTAATTAAGCTTCTCGGGCTTATCCAGCCTTGAGGTATTGGTTCCATTCTATTATAGTTTCGACTAAAGCATCTTAATCATCGGCGCCATTCCGCCGCGCTCGACCCCAAACCCTTTCGGAGCGGACGAAGGAAGGATGGCCCTCAAGGACTGGCCTATAGACTGCTCTTCTCTGCGACAGCTGCACTGGATACAGTCTTCTCCCACAGCGGCTGACCAGCCATGGCAGGCAAAATCACAGTTTCGGGTGGTCGTGGTGCTTTTTTCTGTTCTTTGAAAGGCAAAAACGCAGTTTCGCAGCCCTTTCAAAGCTGTGAAAAAACAGCCCCATGACCACCCGAAACTGTGATTTCGCCTTTCTCTGCGCGACTGTGGCGTCATTCCCGTCGTGGCCATATGGGCCCCACCACAGAATGCACCATACATTTTTGCCATGCGAACTAGCAAAGATGCCCCCGGCAGGGCTCGAGCCCACGACCAGCACTTAGTAGACCAACGCCTTATCCGATCCATTAGGCCGTGGAGTCGTTGACTCCAATCTTCGCCTCTGTACAATTGATTGCACCGCGCCTACCTGTGGCGCGGTCGCCGCCTCTATGGACCAATGGAGCTGTGCGAGGGGCTCGTGAGAAGGTGCGCGGTCAGGGCACTCTCATAGAAAGGATTCAGTGCCACGTGGGATTGGAAGAGTGGAAGGACTCGGCGCCACAGTCTCGCAGAGAAGGGCGAAATCACAGTTTCGGGCGGTCGTGGGGCTGTTTTTCTTTGAAAGGCAAAAACACAGCGCTCGCAGCCCAAAGCTGCGTTTTGCCTTTCAAAGAAAAAGAGCCCGGTGACCACCCGAAACTGTGATTTCGCCTTTTTTTGCGCGACTGTGGCGTCATTCCCGTCATGGCCATATGGGCCTCACCACAGAGCACGCCATACAATTTTGCCATGCGAACTAGCAAAGATGCCCCCAGCAAGGCCCAAGCCCAACGACCAGCGCTTAGAAGAGGAACGCCTTATCCACTAGGCCGTGTAGTCATTGACTCCAATCTTCGCCTCTGTACAATTGATTGCGCCGCGCCTACCTGTGGCGCGGTCGCCGCCTCTATGGAGCTGCGCGAGGGGCTCGTGAGATGGACTCTGCGCGACCATGGCTCACATAGAAGTGGAAAGGTAAGGGCTCTGCGCGTCGTGGGATTGGAAGAGTGGAAGGACTCGGCGCCACGGTCTCGCAGAGAAGGGCAAAATCAAAAACTTTCAGGTGGTCGTGGGGCTGCTTTTTCCCTTTGAAAGGCAAAAAACGCAGCTTCGCAGCCCAAAGCTTGCCCTTCGGAGAGAAAAAAGCATATGGGCCTCACCACAGAGTGCACCATATAGTTTTGCCATGCGAACTAGCAAAGATGCCCCCGGCGAAGATCGTCTCCTGCAAATCCAGCTTCCCGGACAAAGGCCTCCCACAGTTCCTCGGAGACATTGAAATGTCCAAGAAGCTCTTGAACCTTCGACATCTGGAGGGCCACGTCCGCGCCAGGAAACATGGCTCCAAAGCACGGCCACCCACAAGCGGCCCGCGAGAAACATCCTCCCAACTTAATGGAAGGTGGCTTGAGCCAAAATGGATGGCCCAAACCACCTTCCCCCACCCATGGTGCAACGCGTTTTGTCCAGCAGAAAATGTTCCATTTTCTTTCATAACAATCGTGCAAAATGCGTTCCTTTCATAGCCATCTTCAGGCAAGCAGCATTGATGCTCCCTTGCCGCAGCAAGCCCCACAAACGACTCCGCCTCAAAAAGCGGTGCCTGGCTGAACACCCTGGGAGCCTGGCTTAACGGCTTCACTATCAAGATCCAGTTTGCAAGCTGATGTGTGCTGAGAGCTTTTGGACTGAAAAGGCCAAACAGGAACCACACACAGACTGAGCGACCGATCCTGAACGGACTTCCAACCATGCAGTTCTAGATTCTAGACCCAACACATATCCCGGTATCACCCAAATCCAAGGTCAAACCTTCTGGAAGCACACGCTTGAACTATCTATCTTGAACTGCTTCCCTGCTGGCACCATTCTTGGCCGAGTGGCTGAGAAGATACAATTCCACTTGAGCCAAGATTTAGGCCAACTTTTGCTCCCAAACCATGAGCCTTCTTGATGCCTTCCTGGCACTTCTTCGCTCAACTCGGCACTTCTTCACAGTTCTGTCAACTGTTGGCACCTCGGCAGCATTCTCAGGGCACAGAAAGGTGTAGATGTCGAAGTAAACGAGGTCAAGGCCTTCGCCCTCAACCTGCAAGTCACACAGGCACGAAAACATACTGAGAGCCAAATGAGCCTGTGGGAGCTGGTTTGCTCTCACAAGTCGGAATTGGAGTCAAAGGTTGACAGCATGTTGTGCATTGTAGTGACTTAACTGCATCAAAGGAAAACTGTCTGGTGTGACAAACGTGACAATAGCATTATGACAATACAGTGGCTGTCTGGCGGCTCGATCCAAAGCTTCGCAGAGCTGGGCCGATCGCAAGGAATCAGAGGCTACACCTCCGCACATGCCATGGCAAGCAAACAAGTCTAACAAACTTAGGAAGGGTGGGTCCTGGGTCACCTTCTCACTCCTGCTATGCATTACGTACAGCACAGTAGTTGGGCGAAGAAGAAGTCTCTTCACCACCCCATCACCCTGATGATGTGGGTCATGTTGGTGGCGCTCATGTCCCATGTCTAACTTCGAAGCCACTACTGTCTCACACTGCAGGACTTGCGCGTCAAAAGCCTCAAACTAACACCCACCAATGCCTGTTCGATATGCAAATGATCGTTCACCATCCGGCGTCACAAGGCAAAGAACTTCTCCTGTCGCAGAATCTGCCTGGGTCACAGCGTAGCAGTAAATAGCTTCGTGCTAGATATCCAACAACTGGCTTCTGCAATTTACTGTACATATCTATAATCTATGTACGAATGCTTGCTGGGTCATATAGGTGTCAACGGTGCCATCAAAATCAATTTTATTGTTTGTAATTACCTAGCTGCTGTTTGTCTCAGGCCACTGTCATACAGAAGATTCGATGTTTGAGGCACTCGACTCCTCAAAAATGTCAGTGTCCAACAGCTGTGCTTTAAACTTGTGGCACCTGAACGGTGATGTCCTTCACGTGGTGCTGCGCAAGAGCTGCCCGAAAGCTCTCACCGACCTTGCCGAGTCAAACAAGAACATACAGTATATACATATATATATTGTGATGATCCAAGAGGTCATGGGTAAAGGGGATCTTTTGTGAGAGCTCCAAGAAATTGGCTTTCGGTTCCCCAAATCAGCGACCTCGTCTCCACTTTGAACCGTTCACCTCGCTGATCTGCTCCCAGAGGGCTAAGGAGCTGAATTGCTTCCCAAACAGCCGCAGAAGGCCGTATCGCAACCGAGGCATGCCAGCACCTTGTTGTCCGCTGCGCTGTGCGGAATGGCTCAACAAAACCAACGGCATGGCTGTACTGAGAGACATCTTACAGCTGGCAACAACTTCAGCTAGTAAGCAGTCCAGAGGCTCTGGACGTGCAGTAGTTGTACAACGAATAGCCAAACACAATCAGAAACATGTACCAGAGTCAAAGCAGTTCAATATCTAGCTGTGTGGTTGAAGAGCTAGGAGCCTTGGCAGTGTTGCAAGCGCATCCACCACACTGAGACGCAGAGCTGCTTGAGACAGTGCGTGCAGCCTCCTTCAATTGCTCAAAGTCCTGAGGTTTGATAAATCTTCTCCAGCAGAGCCGACTGATCGTTTGATGTCCTTTGAACAGAGCCCACAGCACATGTCTGTCCAATTGCAAGGGTCAACACCCCCTGTTGATTTCTTCATGATTCGGTACACCAATCCCAGCCATGAAGCATTGCCGTCGGAAAACGGTCTGGCATCCCCTGTGAGGCTGGAGAAATTCACACAGCGCCATTTGCTGTTGGGAACGCTTGGCAAATCGCAATGCACAAAGGCATGTCATAAAGAACTGCCAATCAATCAATTGAGATCAATTGAGCAAGCTGCGCACCTCGAGGCAGCCCCTGTGTGGACAGGAAAGAGTCTGGGACGTATGCCATAGTATCCTTGGCAGCACTCAAATGCAGTATCCACTCTGTTACACTGTTTGTCAAAACATCGGAAGCGGATCAAATCATTGATCCAATCATATCCAATCATTGATCCAAAATGATCTTATATAATCCAATAATATCCAATATAATCTAATATCATCCAATGGTCCGATGTCTTCCTGCCAGCCAGGTCTCCCAGTTGGGCGATCCCACAGCCACCACAAGCGGTGCCATCAACGCTCTAGAGCGGTGGCACACGTCTCACACGGTCTCCCCGTGTGCAGAGCAGGGGAGGTCTAAAAGAGATGTCAGCCTCTAGCTTTGCTGATGTTTATTGTGAAGGCAGAGCCCCAAAGTGGCCAAAGTGGCTGAGAACAAATCGCAGATTTGGTCCTTTTTGGGCCTAAAAGTCGAAAAGATCGCAGGAAAGAGAGGAGGCCGCAAATATGTTACAGGACATGTTTCCTTTTGAATGATCGTCAAAGACGAAAAGTCCCCTAGTGAGAAGACTTCAAAGTCTCTTCGAAACTCGCCTTTGCATGGTGGGTCCGAGTCCCTAGTCTTGCACTGCAAGTAAAATCAATTTTACGCGCACAAAGCAACCCCACGTCCTGGTACGTCCGAGTGCGATAGTCGTCAATGTACAATCGACCTCGTGCACCACTGGAGGCCGCTCACAAAGAGGCCACTCCACAACTTCACAACCCCGGTCCGGGCCTTTTGCAGCTCCAGTTTGCGGATTTAGGTACACGTTCAAGGTGAATGGATCCTGAAAGATTGCTTGGATTTGAGAGGTGCTTCATGATTTGGACTGCCAGGACAGATTTACGTCTTAGATCTGGCACACCAGAAATCTAAAACCACTGCATGTGCTTGCAGGCGGTCCAGGCTCATGCAAGCAGAGCTTCTCCGTATTCTCGATTTCAATGGCACCACCTCAACTCCCAATGCAAGGCTCCATACAATGTCCATCTATTGTCACGGTGCTTCAGCTGAGGTCCAAGCAGTGCCGGCTCTGTAGTAGGCCGGGATGCTGTCGAGGTCCAACTTGTGGACATGTGCTCCGGGAGCCTTGAAAGCCCCGTTGTGGATGCTGTACCTCCGCTGCCGGTGCTTCTCTGATTCACCCACCATACAAGGCGCAACTGTAAAAGAACTGTTTGGAAAAGTCACATCACATCCCCAAAAAATCACGCGCACCATCCAGATGCCTTCGGCAGGTACACTGTGGCCTGCGAGCTGTTTCAACCAGTCCCCATCCACCGTTCGTGCGACATGCGAAGACATGCGACTGAACTAACTACTCAACCAGAAAAATCCAGAAAAACCACGGCCCCCCGCATGTGTTTCTCGCGCGGGCGTCGCGTCAGGTCCTCCGACTGCTCGGAGGAGGGCTTGGCAATGCCGTGAACCAAAAGAGAATCTCCCAGCATAATTTGGCTCTCCAAGGCCTCCGCAAAAGGCGGTCGGTTGCCATTCACTGCGCCCATGACTTGTGTACTAACTTGTGGCACAAGTTCGTGGCGCTTGTGTGGCTGGTAGGGAGGCATTACTCTTGTATAATCTTGTTTTTAGGGATTGAATGGTATTGACAATGATGGAGTTGAGTCAAAGCTGCATGCCAAGAAAGATCTTTACAGGATCACAAGGAGCGGGGATGGCGGTTGGCTCGGGAACCCAGAAGTCTCTGGCCCGGAGCTGATCGTGCCTATATTTATAGACATCTTTGTCTACGTAGTCTGACGTTTCTTGGCCTCCTCATTCTCATGCGTCTGTGGATCATCCTCAGGCCAAATCCGTCCTTCTCAGTTCCTTCTCAGTTCCTTCTCACCAACTCTATGACTCTATCATACTCTATCCGTGTGTGTTTTCTTCGGGGTCATTTCGAACAGCATCTCATGAAGGAGTCAAGGTCTGTCAGTTCGAAGCACTGAGCCAACTGACCAGGAAGTCCCAAAACAGCGGCCGCACGACCGGTTCGGCAGCAGAAGCCCAGCGGTGGAACAAGGTGTACCACAATGGAAGCATTTTGTACCTAGTGTACGAAAGCCAAGTGATACTGAAACGAAAGCCAAGACATGCCATTTGCACTCAGAGTATTCTGTCTACACATGTTGGACGCATCTCTTTCCGTTTGACACTGCTGTTTTAACTTCCATATCGTAAATTGCTTTGTCACCGTGAACACGGCCATAGACCAAAAATCTGACTGATAGCCACTGATAGCTCAACTCCAGCTGCCAGTCGGCCTCATTTGCAGTGACGCCTTGATTCTCAGCATGGTCTTCTCATCGAAGACGTATGGCTCTCTTCGCGGCGTCTGTCACAAACGCGCGGAGCCAGGCAATGCCTTTTTCGAAGCTGAGCAGCGAACCTGCCTCCAGGTGTGCATGATTCCGTAGGAACGGATAGATCAGAACAGCCAGCTGATACCTCAAAGTGAGGCCAAAGCACTAGATGACTTCAAGAAAGCACTCCATGTCAAATGCACGAGAAGCTGTTTGAAGGGAATGTTTGGTTGAGTCCTCCACTTTGACTCAAAGAAGCTTTTGTCACTGCTCAACCAACTCTCCTATTTCCTTGCAGTTCATGTCCTGCTTGGTGGTTCAATCATGTCTCAAAGCCCTTGCACTCTTTGACTTGTTATATAATCTTACCCACTCAGAGTCTCACCATCTGACGGTCATCTCAGTATCCGGATGCTTGAAAAATCCGCCCACATCCTGAGCTGATTACTCCTCTGTTGTCAAATTACTTCATGAAAAATGGATATCTCTGGAGCCAGCTGCAGAACCGACGGGATCGATGGGGCGAAGCACCAAGGAACAGACGTGACACAGAACTCGAACGGTCTTTCGAACGAACGAAGCAACATCTGCGCTGTGATTCGTGGACTTCTTGTGACTCCGAAGGCGGGTTTTGCAGCCAAAAATCAGCTCCCACCAGGGACTGGCCACCAAGAGTCAAGGCTCCAACCTTGGAAGTCATCACCCAGGGCAGACCAACCCAGATTCGAGTTTGCTCACATAGAGCTCCAGGATGAATGATATCAACTCAATATGCTTCCATGTCATACCTTCCCTCAAATAAAAAGTGAGATCGCCAACCTATGCAGAAACCTATTGAGATGACCCAAAATCAAGGGCAGTTCCACCACTCGCAAGAAGCAATCACAGTTCCACCACTCCATGGTCTGAGGGGAGATCCATGGCAATGGAGGCTTTCAGATGCGACCACTGGGCATAGTTGTCGCCTGCGTCTCGAAACTCCACTTATCCGCAGCTTGCGGCCGCCGCGAGGTGTTTGGCTGACGTTGGTTTGTCCGACTTTCGTGTGTCAAGTCGCAAAAGCTGCTGGGACCCAACTTGTTATAACCCTACCCACCCTACTCCTAGTGACGGTAGCCTTTTTAGGCTCCCCCTTCATTTGGGTAGTGGCCGGTGCGAAGTTGTTTTGTCAAGCTTTCCTTCAAACATCGAGCCGATCCCGCCTGTCCAGATTGCACTATACTTGTGCGAGCCTATGAAGAAGGACCGCGTGAGGACAAAAGGCCTGACATCACAGAAAGGCCAATGTCATTATTGTATATTTTCAGACGATGTGGTTTTTTTCCAAATATACACAAGTCGGGCACTGCTCCTGCCTGTCGCCAGGCGTTCGTTTCTGCAAGCCTTCAAAGGTGGCACGATGGACATAGTATCCGTACCTCGCGACATCATCAAATGCCTCAAAAGCCTACTTGTGATCTCAAGTCAAGGACGTTTGCCACTGCACCGAAACAGTAAAAGGATGTAAAAGGCATGGGCCTTGTTTGGAGAAAAATCATGCTGTGGCTCACATGTTGTGCACATCGCGGTGTTCAACCATCCCATTGGGATGTATAGCATCTCTTGGCATGGTGACCTGTCCATGCTTAGTCGGAGATCCGCTATTTCTTCCGCTGCAGCAATTCATTCGAGCCTCTGGACCATTGAACACTGAGGGCTCGTTCATGTCATTCCTGCCATGTTAGGTTCTCATGAACATATGAGTCAGCTATGTAGGGCTATGTAGCTGTTCGAAAAAGAAACCCAAAATTCCCAAGGCAAGGGAGTAGAGATAAAAACAAACATACTCCGAAAGGGACCGACGTCGCCTACTAGACAGCTTGTGACAACTTGAAACATCGACTTTTGAAATAACATTCCAGTCGGGCCAAATGTAGGTGTCAGCGTTGGTGCCGGTGTACTTGTCCAGGGCAAACTGAGACCCCCAATACTCTCGCATAGCTGGGTCCTGAATCAAGATCGCATCGTTGTTGCGCTTTGCAAGACGTAAACACACCAACGGCTGCAATTCAGGACGGGCAAGCGGACGACGTGTCTTTCCAAAGCCAAGCGGCTGTAAAGTCCGGGTACAGGGATGTCCCCGGCCAACACCACCTTACGGTGAAGGTCTCTGGCGATCCAACAGCACTCCGTTGGGAAACGCGCCCCCCCCATGTCGCCGATGTCGCCGCTCGTGTCGTGGCTCGTGTCACATGACATCACTGGCTCGCTTCGTCTGGTACCAAGGCGCCCCTCAAAGTCTGTCAGGTCAGGCGTGGGATCGTTCACCTTTCGGGGATGCCACCTGCCAATCGGAAGATGCGATGCCTCCTGGAACCCCATGCTGGGAAGGTCTGAATTACAGCAAATTCCTGTGCTTCAAGGCATCCGAATCACAACATGCAGAAAACATGCAAAGCCAGGCTCGGTGTCCTCAACATGTCGGGCGCACGCTCCCTTGTAAGCTGGATTGTCAATTTGGGGAGCAACCCAAGGTCCATCTTCCTCTGTATTCCACTCCTGCGGTCACTTCAGGGGTTGGAAGAATACATGCTTGAGCAAGCTCTAGAAGCCCTGTGTTTCAGTGCAATTGTGTATTTCAAAGAACCTCTCTGAGAGTTTGCCAGCAATTTAGTCCAAAAAACATGGCTCTTCGAAAGGCGTGGTTTTGCATGTCCTATCACTTCCTGATTCTCGATTTGATGAGCCGTGGATGTTCCAAGCAAACCATGATGCTCCAACTACCCCGGCAAAGGTTTTGACCGTCAGCCGTTCAACCGCACCCATCAAGGTACTTCCGTCACATGCAACCTACCTCGAAGTCGCGACCTTCACGCACCCCCTGCTGCTGTGTCGCCCCCCCTCCCCGCAGAAGAGCTCCGGAGGCTGCGTTGCCGTTGGATCAGGGATTTTGGTCTCCTCAACCCAATCCGCAGGTTTCACCTGTGCCGCTTTTCAAGGCCACTAAGCTCTGCAAACTGTGCCGGATGAGTTTCACACAAATCAAAGGTCAGGAATGACAACAGGAGCAGCTGCTGGGATGTTTGGGTTGCAATGCGTTGAAGTTGTGTTCCCTGGGCTCGCATATGCAACTCAATACAGTAAATTGGAGTGAATCAGAGATCCAGCAGTGACCTTTCGCTTACAAAACAAGGCAGAACTTTAAAGCACACTATACACCTAGCTCAAATATCACCAAGTTCCTCACATCTGTCGGATCATCGATCTGCTTGTAGGACACCTTCTTGACAAAAAAGCCTTTGTCCCGCACCTGGCACTGACAAAGCACAGATTTCCAACGTTGGTCCTTTTGGGGGCAAGGGAGAAGGAAAATCTCAAAAACCATCTGCCATACCTGCCATACCCATGATGCTAGATGAATAGGCCTTGATGAATCTTGATCGATGAGGACACCTTAGCAGACTAAGCGTCCCTAACCTCTCGATACACGTGGAACTTCTCGTCCTGCAGGTGGCAAACAGTTGCTTACGTCTTCGTTTCAAGGGTCGTCTTCAGAACTGAAGAAAAAAGGGTCGTGACGGACATGGCAAAACAGCCAGACTGTTGCTTGGTATATGGTTAAACGTGGTCGACACTTGCGGGATTCGTCCTATCCTGGCAGCCTGCACAAGAGAATGACACGTTGGCAGCAAGGCCGCAAGGCTTTGGCCAACCACAGCAGCGTCAGCGGATGGGAGACCCGTCCTTCTTGATGTGCGGATCCACCACATTGACAAACTTCCGCCGCTTGGCTGAGATGTTGTCAATCTTAGGTGGTGAATCAACTGTGAGTGTCAACAAGTCCGGCATCATCATTGAACTAGCAGCTAGCATTTAACGTGGCTGTGTGGGGTGTATCGAGACAACAAAGGAGCGCACCATCTGCTTCGGGTTAGGAAAGGCAGCCGCATTCCACCTCGGAAGAATTGTGGAAAGCATGTCTATCTCCCTCACTGAAAGTGAATTTGCGACAACCCTCACTTTAAGATTGCAGCGAGAAGTATGCTTTGCCATCTGTGTGCTCGATGTCCAGCCTCGTGCTTAAATTCTTCCACTCACAAAAATTGAAGGGCCTGTGTGCAAAGGCTCAAGGACGACTGCTCCTGACAGTCCGTCCTGTCAAACTTGTGGTGACCTCACCAGATTCGTCTCAGTCGAATCTGTGTCCCGAGCCAAATCGTGTCATAGGGAATGTCGTACTTGTCGTACATGCTGTCAACTGTTGCGACATCCTGGAGCCAGTCGGCGAGCCAGTCAGCCCTGGTGGGATGTCCATTTCTCACAAACGGCTGAGCTTAACGAGGGCGCAACCCCCGCGATTCCTTCTCGCTCATGTAGTTCCAACGGCACTGGTGCTTGCCCAAAGCCCAAAGCCCGGGCATTGGACCATGTCCCGTCAAGTCATGGAATTGCCTTGGCTTGGCACTAGGCTCTCTAGGCCCTAGGCTTTTTAGCTGGGGTGGGCAAATCCGTTCTCAACGGGCTTGAGTTTGGACACAAACACTCTTCATGCATTCTCATCCGCCATAGTTTCATAGGTGGTCTGAAGCGGTCTCAAACCTTGGCCCCCACACGCTGACACGGTCTTCGGGGTTGGGCCCACCATCACAACCGTGTCAAGCACTCCACTTTCACTCGTCCACCATGCATGGGCCTTAGCCAAGGGACTTGAGGTGCGAACATCAAAAACAACATGTGTGTGCCCAACATCTAAAGGGTCTATCACTGTGGGTCTGGACTATCACTGTGCCCAGAAAATCATCACATGCTGCAATTGTCCATTTCTTGGGGCCACGACCGGACCGCCCTTGCCATCTGGAGTGTCCCTCTCCAACTTCACAAAGGTCTCCTGAAGTGCCACGCATCTCACAAGTGGACGCAAAGGCTTCGGTTGGAACAAGTAGTATATGATATATGGCCTCTGGTCGATGGAACCTCAGGCCTGGAGAATGGGAAACCATGTTTGGAGGCCTCTGTCCCTCTTTGGATTGGAACCTTTGCACCAAACCACGGACGCAAAACCAAGCAGCTACAACATGTTACAACTTCGCTGTTGCAAACCCAGGTTAGGCTGAGTTGTGAGTTGGAGCACAAACTGTAGCGAATGCTGGACTGAAGAGGAATCATAAGGCCTATCAACAAGGTAGGCAAAAACAATCTCATTGTTCCTTTGGCTTAGTTTCAGTTTCTCCGTGTTCATTACAATAAGCCCACCGCCCCGCCGCTCCGAGGGATTGATCCAGAGAAAACCGGAGGACACGGTCTGGCCCCCTGCCAGCGAAGTCAGCAGTCCGGGCCCCGACTGAAAGGGATCTGAAAAGCAGCAAAGTGGACGGAGCGTTTCATCATGAAACTAAGAATTCTGTTGGGCCTCTGTTTGGAATCATACCGTGGCTGACTCTTCAAAAGAGTGCAGAAGAGTTTAGTCCTACGATGCCGCCTTTTACCTGGATGAAAACGCCGATTCTGAGAACGTGAAGACGCAGATTGCTGTCAGACATTTGGTGGTTTGACAAAGACCTTAGGGATGAAGCCCCAAACATCTGTCGCTACAAATCAAGACAAGAATGTAGAATGCTCTCAAGCCTCCTCCAGTGTCCTTCCTACCCAGCTTGAGCCCAGCCTCCAAGCCGATGGATGGCCCAAATGATTGGAATGGCACCATAGAGTGCCATGGGCTCGTCGATTTCGTACCTGGCTGGACATGGAAACATCTGAGAAACCGGTTGGACCATCAGTAGCGTCCTTGTTCCTAGTAGCGATGCCAGGAGACCATCAAAGACCCCAGAAGGTTCGGTTGGATGTTGCCATGCCGTTGGATGGATTCCCCAACACGGCCAACGAGTGTCTTCATCCCCTCGTCCGCTGGCGATCGTCCGCTGCATTTCTAGGAGGCTCCGATTCATAGACAAATCCAATCGGTCCCAATGAGAAAAAATCATCACTTTGCGCAGTCAGATTGTGACGATCGCAGGAATGGCACGTGCTGTAGCAGTATAGCAGCCTTCGTTAAAATAAAAAAAAAGTTCCAAAATGATTGCTAGCCTTGGTGTACGATCATGTTCCAAAAGGGAGCAGTACAATCTCACACAATGGTCACTCGAACACGTCCAAGTTGAAGAATCGATAAGGCTCTTGGTAGAAAGGGAGGCTGGCCTTGGTCTGAGGTCTGAAATGGTCTCGCAGCAATCCATTGTGGTTACGCTGATTCCATGATGGACTGCAGGTGGATGCAGGTGGATTCACATACACCGGTGTCACCGGTGTCACAGAGTGTGTAAAAATGTGGATCTGTCTGAGATCCGTGCTTTGGTCGCATGTTCTGGAAGACCGAAGAGTGATGGTACGTCACCCTGAGCTTGTGTCAGCAGTGACCAGGCGCATCATTTAAAATGTTTGTGGCTACAGTCTAGGCCAGTAGCTGCTTGTAGCTTGCAATAATTCTTGGGATAATGACTCTCATTCAGAAACCAATGCAGTCATATGCAGTCTATAGATGTCTACAGCTTGCTTCATGATGTCGGCCCCCGAACACTTCCCACTGAACTTGCCAGACGAGGTGCCAAAAAGCTAACGTCCATTCCCAAAGAGGCAGGGCCTGAGCAGATCATTCCACTGCTTATCGCAGCACGATTCATTTCAGAATCGCAGCTGAAAATCAGGCAGGCTGACAAGGATTGAGGAATTGACTTTGCAGATCATATATCGGCTGCAGTTGCAATCTCTCATCCACTTGATTTCCAACCAACAGAACATTTTGAAGCCGAAGCAGGCAGTGTTCAAACAAGGATTATCTATCTGAAATCATATCTAAATTATTCTAAAGATGTGTATATACTGGAGATAGCAATTCCAGGGCCAAACTTCGTGCATTCTGTCTGAGAAAGAAGACTAGCTGCGGCTAGCTGTGCTAGACTTAAATCGGAATCCATCTGGCTATTCTAAAGGTCGAAAGACCTCATGTGGTCTCTGATTCGTGAGCCCAGTCCCTTGACGTGCCTCTAGGCTTTTGGTCTGTGTGGCCACCAAACGGCTCCTCCCAGAGGCCCTGAGTAGGAGAATTGCCACAGAAAATGCTTTCCCTGAGGTGCTGGGGAAACTCTCAGTTGGACTGCATAGCATACGTATTATATAACTGATATTGTATTTCTTAGATAGTCCTTTCCACCTTCGAACCATGAGCAGGTGTGCCAAAGCTCGTTCTCTTGCGTCCATCATTTGTCATCTGCGGCATTGTTCACCAACTTGCATGGACTTGCTACTGACAGTGACTAAACGTTCATAGAAACTCATACACCCCATACTCAAAAGACATGCCCCACAAGTGCACCTCTCTAAGCCCTGGGTTTGCACCAATTGGCCAATCTACTTTCAGGACATCTGCGCTTAGAACTGGGTTCCAGCACATTTGTGTCCAGTCCATTGGGATGAGCTGCTGCGTCCAGCAACACCTTGGAACAGCGACGAAGGACGGTCTGGAATGCTTCGTCCCACGGCCTGTTGGGAGAAAAGGAAACAGCATGAGATAGAATAGAATGACTAATGTCTGTCTAGACCTAATTACCTGTAAAAGATTGATCGGCAGCCTCCTTGCAGTCAAGGTGCCGTGTCTGGTGCTGCCACGGAGGCTGTGTCAGGTGGAAGCCTCTCCTTGAACCAGGGAGCAACGGCTTTTAGAAGCTCCGTGTGGCACAATCGACCTCGAAACCTTCATCTGACTTCCGAGGCGATGTGCATCTCTTTGTTCTGTGGTGCATTGGCATTGACCATCAAAAGAAAGTCCAAAGTGTTACTGCTTTTGAGGCTAGGCGCTTGCAATCAGGTTTGTCATTGTTCAAAATAAAATGACTGTATTGCTGATTTGTGGGTGAATTGAATTGTCTAAGTCTCCAATGTTGGATCAACTTCGACAGTCTTCCATAGATTCTACTGCTTCAATAGAGCAAAAGGCTGGAAAACATCTCTTCTCTTTGGATTTCCTTGGCACGTTAAAAATCAACCCGCGGATCTCCGTTGGATTCCGCTACGAAAAACGGGACCGGAGCGGTTTGTCGGGCTCCTTGGGCGTTCGATACCGCTCGAAGTTGAGCATGTTCCGGGCATTCAGCCTGGCAACTCCATGGATTTCCTCGTCCCGACTCGTCCCGATTTCCTCCCTGACCTTCACTTCATTTTTTGGAAAAGAACTCTGACGGACCTTGAACTCTGATGATCTCCCAGTTTTGGAGACGATGCGAGCACGTGGATTTCCACCACCCTGGCCTCTGCAAGATCTGCCCTCCAACGGAGACTTCCAACGCCAACGGCGAGTGGTGCAGAATCGCCTTCAATGAGCATGGGATGAATCTGGATCCCAAGTCTCAACAGGGGCACATGGTGGCACCGGTTCGAAAGGGCAAAGAGAGTTTGTTTTCTTGAGCTGGCAGCAACGATCAAACAACACTGACAGCACTCAGAGCTGGATTGCTGTTCTTTCTGGTAGAACACCCCCAAGTGCACTCTCTTGAACCAACTAAAGCAACTAAAGAGTGGGTGTGTCTCAAAGACAGGCCACCCTGGGAAGACAATTCAACAAGATGATGGTGATGAAGCTGCAGCAGTTTTGGAAATGGGCCTGGTGCTATCAGGTGATCAGGTCCGTGGCTGGACCCGCCAGTCGAGTAAACGTGATGCTAAAGAATAAACTATAAAAGCAAAAATGCGTCAGTTGTTTACCTAACAGCGATGGCCTCCCAACCTGAAAGCGATGGCCTCCAACCTATTAGCGATGGCCTCCAACCTAATGGTCGTAGGCAAGGAGAGTAAACAAATCCCGTGTGGTCTTGCAAACGGTCTTGGGGTGAGTTGTCAGCAACTCCGTTCTGTCCTCTGCTGCTGTGCCGTCAGCCGTGGCAAACTTGAAAATGCTCTTGCCGCTTTCATCCGCTTCAGAGACCTGCGCTGCCCGGCAGCGGGACACATTCGCCGTTCGCACTGTTGGCACCTCTAACGTCTGACAAAACGTGCATTTGGTCTTTCAGCTGGATCAACTGGTCGACACACGTACAGGATCAATCAGCCTATACTCCACTGAGTACAGTTCTATGCTGCCAGTTGGGTCACACATAGGGTCCTTCCTTAAACAACATGGAGGGAGCCCTCCTTCGGCTTTCCCTTTTCAGGCCAGGCCCTGAGCTGCCTTGCGAAAAAGGGGCGCGTTTGGAAGGGTAGATCCAAGTCTGGAATAAGAGGGGACACGACATGAATATCTTAAATAAACCTCTTCAGATCCACCACAAGGCCTTTGCTGCTGCTGGCGGAGGATCGGAGACCACATCCCCTGGCGGAATCTCATGGCCTGAGACGGTGCGCGCTTGGCACCGTTGAAGTTAACAGCGAAGCGACCAGGGACCGTCAAATGGTGGGTTTGTGGAAGGCTGGACTTGCAGAACTTAAACTTGGTGGGAGCATCCAGACACCCTTGGTGGTAGAGCTTATTGAGGAGTCAAATCATCATCTACATACCCCTGACAAGCTGTCGAGAAAAGAAGCCCACACAGGGTCTCCAAAGAGCCTGTCAGTTCATTGACCAAGGCTGCTCGAAAGATTCCCCTGCTCGAAAGAGAAACGCCACATTCAACCCTACTAGCGTCGTTTTCTGCGAAGAGCACTGTTTCTGCAAAGAGCCCAAGATGTCGGACGGATGTGCAGCGGCTTGATCTCAGTGATTCGCATTCGAACCATGCCTCACAGCCCGCCCAAGTGATCGGCGAGCTCAACCGTTGCGAAGGTTGGAATCAGAAGGGCATATGCGGCATGGGGTCAAAACGGGTGCATCGAAACCGTGGTAGACTAATCTGTAGTCCTTCTGAGAGCCTTTCTTGTTTTGATGCTTCTGGGGTGCCTTTGGGTGCTATACTAGTACGCACGTACCAGATCGTCGTACCAGTGTTTCCCATTGGAATCAATCTGGCCCAGTTCATCAAACCGAACCCATATCTTGATAGGAAAGGGCACGCATCCTCTCTCCATGGTGGCCTGAAGCATAAATGTTGAGCTTCAGCAGCAAGTGAGGTGTTTCCTGAGCCGGTGCAAGCCAAAGCTTTTTCAGCTAGCCAGAAAGACGAATTCAGGAAACGTCGGGACAATCATGGAAGTGGAACATAGGCACTAATTTCCGGGAGGGTAACTTGTAAGGAAACTGTGCCTGCATTCCTGCCAGGCACAAACATGAGGAAACAAAAGGACGGAGCTGCAGTCTTCCCTGCCTCATTCACATGCTTCACTTGAAAGCTAAAGCCACCTTCAGGGAGAGGTGCCCTGGCAGCCAGGGAAAAAAAAGACCAAGTCACCTGGCCCTTCGGAATGGACCAGAATCAAAAGCCTTCCACTCTTGTAAAATTACAGATTCGCTTCTGTGGAACGTCCCCTGGACCTCAACCTCGTGTTGCACAACTTTTTGCCACATCACATGACAAATGGAACTCACGCCATGAAACCGGGCAGCAGAATCAAGTGCCTAGCGCCCTGTTCGTCCAGCAAGTGCTGAGTCAGGGTGTTAGCACGGAGCGTGCAAAATAATGGCTGGTCGCAGTCATCTGCGCGTGCAAAATAATGGTCGGGCGCGGTCATCTGCGCGTGCAAAATAATGGTCGGTCGCGGTCATTCACTGCACGCCCTGCCCAGAATGCAATGAATTTCGTGGCCTCAAAGAAGCCTCAAGACCCTGGGGGGTCGATTCTTCCAAGGCCACTTGACATCTGAATTGGATTGACTTGGGCCCCTGGGCTAGTGGCAAATTCAAAAGTTGGGAAGGGAACATCAAGGGAACTTTACAGCAACTGCTTCAAGTGAGATAGACGTGGATAGACTGACGCTGCCAACACTTTGATGGCACGTTCAATCAAATGGCAGGGTTGCTACGACCTCACGGCCACGACGGCAACACTGCCCTTCACGGTGCAACGACGGTATGCATCCAAGCGATGCATCCAGCAATCCTTAGAACTCAAGCTCCTCCGTGCCCGAACTCGTGGAGACCAGATCCGACATCTCGGAACCATGGCGGTTCTTGGACACAATGTCGGCCAGGGCAACCGTTTTGCCCAGATTCCATGACAGCTCAGCAGCAATGGTGGTGCGGACAATGTTGGGATGCCTCAGCATGGCCTCTTGCTCCAGGCGGTGTAGTTGACTTTCACATCCGGCCTGAACCAACTCAATGAATGCCGTCAACTCTGAACGATAAGCTTGGAGGTAACACTGTGGAAAGCTATACATGGCCGGTGGCATCAAATGCCCGTCTGCTGTGGCCAGTTCCACGGTGTTCGTCAGCTCGTTCTTCGCACTCAGCATGCCTTGTTCTCCAAAGGCCTCAATGCGCTGGTCATAGCCGTAAGATGCATCCCGGCTGGTGTCGACCATGGCTATGAGGCCGCTGGAATACTTGAACATCACTGCACAAGTATCCAAATCACCCATGGCTCGAATTTCTGGATGGTAGCTGTGGCCAATGGCAGTCACGGCTTCCGGCACTTGGCCTCCGAGGAAGTCAAGCATGTCAAAGTCGTGGATGAGCATGTCATGAAAAATTCCGCCACTGGTCCGGAGGTACTCCATTGGAGGAATGGGATTGTCACGGCTGCATGTTTTGAGGACCTTCAAGTTCCCGATGGCTCCTGCATCCAAGCTTTGCTTCAGTGCACGAAAGTGCCGATCAGCACGTCGCTGGTATCCGCAAACGGAGGCCAAGTTCTTACTCCTTGCTAGTTCAACGGCCTCTTCAACCTCGGCCAGCTCATGAGAGATGGGCTTTTCAGCCAGAACTGCTTTGTCAGCACAGAGCGCCTTCATGATGTACGGGAAGTGCGTGTCGGTGGCTGATGCCACAATCACGGCGTCCACGGCATCTGGCCCTTGGAGTGCTTCATCTAGATCAGTGGACCAGTGGCAGCCCCTCTCAGCTGCAATGCGCTCAGCCTTCACTGCGTCCACGTCAATAACCCATGCCAAAGAGACAGACCCTGCAAGTTGGAGGATGGACTGCATATGGAAGTGTCCCGCTCGTCCAAGGCCAACGAGGGCCACCTTCACAACCTCGTTCGTCATGAAGCCACTGGAGCGCTGATTTCCTACACTGACCTTTACTTGCAGACAAATGCCTTCAGTCATTGAAAAAGTCTAGGAATCTTGAGACCAACGAGAGGCTCTGTGATCTCTTGTGTGCTTCAATTGCATAGCAGCATAGCACAAGGAAAAGCATAGCACAAAACCTCTGCAACGAAAAAGAACATGCAGCATGCAGCAACGACTGTCATGACTGTCACTTGGTTTCCACTCATGGAGCCTGGTTTGTGGAAGGACAGTCCAGAGAGCTTTCTCCCTTTCGGGTCTACTGATCCATTTCTTGTACCTCCAGCCACAGAAAGGTGCCGAGCTACTCGGTTCACGGAAACAACTCGTTTCTCACGCTGTGTCCATGTCTCTGTTGCGTGTAGTTGCTGTGAAAATGGGAAACGCAGAACGCCGCAAAGACTCTGACGCATCCGCAGGACGCCGAGTGAATTCAATCAGATCTTCGGCCTTCGGCAAAAGGAACCTTGCTCGCAAGTCCTGAACTTGGATCTGTCCACAGCGGCTGCTGGCAAAACCTGGCTGCAAAACAGCGTCGGTGACCCGGACAGAATTTCTGAGGCCAGGTAGAAGCTTGGCGATCTCATGCAGTGTAAACGTTTGTACCCTTCCCTAGGCTGGCAGCCAACACTTCCAAGTGCTACAAGTATACACCTTGAAATGCTATGCGTTACTTGGTGACGCGAGTTGGTGCCACGACTTCTCGCCATCACGCGACGAACGCGGCACGCGGTCCGCGTGGCTCAGTCCGTCACTGTGAGTGCCAGGATCAGAAACACCCAGGACATTCGCCTGACCACCTGGACGAGTGGCGAATGAGCCCGGCTTGAGTGGCTCATGGCCGAGCCATCCCATGGACCGAGCTAAGGATGGTGTTGTCTTCTTCTCCTCGGATAAACCTAGGATTGGAAAAGTGCCCTTCTCAGACTTACTTATATTACAATCAATAATCATATATCTGTGGTAGTGCATCTGCCTATAAGTTCTTTTGGTGAGACTCTTCCCTAAGTTCTTTGGATGTGGTATTGGCACACGTCTCAAGTTGCGGCCTCCATTGCACCCAGGACCGACGCCCCGCCCCAAAGCTTGAAGCCTATTCAGCATCGGCGTGAACACTGAAGTCCAAGGTCACCTAATAGCAATGGCCTCCAACCTACTAGCCTCGGGCCCTTGAGAGCCAATGCATCCAAAATCATCCAAGCATTCAGTGTGTGTGTGTGTGTGCGTGTGCGCGCGCGCATCTTTTCTTAGATGCTTCGCCTGTGCGAGTGCATCTTTGGCAGCCGCAATCTGATGCATCCGGACATCGGCGCAAAGGTGCCACCCTTTGGTAGCGATCATGCAGAGATCAAAAGAAACATCGCCGATGCGGAGAACATGTGGACCTCCCCTCTCGAAGCAAACCGACTACAACAATTCAGTCGTCCGGAAAGAAATGATCATCTGGAACGGATTCGGTTCCCATGACCGTTCCTCACTTGATAGCCTCATATCACGAAAACTCGCCAAGAATGGAAAGGACAACTAATGCCAAAACTGAACAGGATAGGGTTGCAAACTTGCCTAATGAGGTGGGTAAGTAAGCGGTGGCTGCAGGTTGTCTGCAGTGGGTCAAGGAAAACCACTTGTGAAGCTCCCATCAAGCTGATAATCTGCACTTTAAGAATTTGCCCAGAAGCCGCTCCCACATTACAAGACTGGCGATTTCGAAATGGCCAACTACCTGGATCCAAACTTTTACTTCTCAACAAAGCATCCAAACATGTCAAAACCTCCCATTGACTCAGCTTCGTTCCAATGTGTTAACATGTTCGGGTGTCCTTTTAAGAGCCCAGCCTTTGCGGAAGCTCTCCAGCATCTCGGCCTGCGGGGGCTGAACAAGCACCGAACAGGGTCAGACTCCAAAGCAGCCCTCCATAGATCCGGTGCCATCCGATTTGGTGAGGATGTTATGACTTATGACTACTGGTAGCGTTCGGACGCTACTAGTAACAAAGGGCATCGCTACGAACGGAGCAAGGACGCTGCACGCTACTAGTAGCTCCTGGCATTACTACTAGGAACAAGGACGCTACTAACAGCAAGGACACTATTAGGTGGAGGCCATCGCAAGTAGGTTGGATGCCATCGCTACTAGTAACAAGAAGCTACTAGTAACTAGTAACAAGGGGACTAAGCGCCTCCGGAAAGACTCTGAAAGGCAATCGGATATCAGTGAGATCAGCGCTCTTTTTCGCATGGGTGAGACACGGGTGGGTAGTGAACCCAAAAAGGACATGCCGGAATTCCCGTGAAACCAATCACTGCCGCGCGACCTGGACAGAGGCAAGCATGTGGGGGCCAGCTGATCGGTTCATGTGTGAAGACCAAAAACATGAACCGAATGAACCGATGTTTTTCGTATGTTGCCATGTCTTTTGTGAGAGAAATGAGCTATTAGGCAGCCGTAAAGTGACACACAAAAACTCAGATCGCGTGGTTGTAAAAGACAGAACATCCAGAGAACCCCATCCACACCTCATCACACCTCCGCATCCGCCTCAAGCACCATCAAGCACCTCCCTCTCGGGCCAGGTCTGAGGTACTTGCCTGTAGCCACACCAGCTTGAGACTGTGGGGGGCATAGCCTTTGGGCTATGTCAAGGTGTTTCACGCTTCGGGCGATGTGGAGCTGTCCACGCCTCTCCTGGCTCACTGGAGGCAGCCTGAACTGAAGCTTCGGAGAAAAACTTGGGGGTGCCACAGGCAAATGAGTCACACAAACATCCAATGAACTTCTTGAAAGCCCCTGTTGTTAAGACTCATAATATCTGTTTACAAGTTCACGTTTTGATGTTTGGCCGAAAAGGTGCCGAAGGATGAAATCACTGTGTTCTTAGAAACAGGACCATAGACTTAGAAAGTCTCAGGTCAAAAATTGCATTGTTGCCTTGGCCTCGATGCACAATTCGTTCACGAAATGTCCAAAGCCATCAGTAGGAGAAATGCAGGAAGAGATAGGAAACGGATGGAAAAGGCGTGTTTGTTGGTGAAAGTTTCAATTGATTTCTTTGGTCTTGTGTATCCACTAGAGTTTCTTCGCCGTGTCGGGTCCAGCCTCTCGAAACTTGCTGGGATCCAGCGTGGACGTCTTTTGCATCTGAAGTATGGCAAATGATGAAAGGGAGCAAACGTGCCGCTGCGTCTCCAAAGCTTGCCCAAATATCGGTTCTAAAAAAAATAAAACGTCCGCGATGGCTGTCAACTCGACCCAAATACAGGATAGGAATACTGGATCTGTTGGATCTATGGCCGCACTTCAGCACTTCGGTCGCGGGGTCGACCGACCATGGTCATCCCGCGGATCTGTGATTGCCACTGGAAGGCATGCAGGATCTGTTTGAGGCAAATGGTTCCAATTTGGCAAGACGAGATATATTATATATACAAAATGACAATATATATATATATGTGTATGTATATGCATTAAGGGTTGGCCAACTAGACAAGTGAACTTTTGGACTCCCGCACTGCAAAAAGGGCTTTTAAGGCCAAACCGTGCTCTGAGTCTCTGGCACTGCCCCGTTGGGCATTCTGCAAGCCCTGACCCAAGGTGCTGTGTAGCGTCCGTTGCTCCTCCTCATCCGAGACTCGTGGCAAGCCACGGCAGAGACTCGTCTCTTTTTTGCTACAGCAAAATCTCTGAAAGGTACAATGTACAGGTCGGTCAGTTATTATTGGTCAGTTAGGATTGTGCAACAGTTACAAAAGCATATTGACAATACGCATGGCAGGTTTGCTGCAGCTGCCTCCTGTTGAAGATACACTTCATACGCAGATTCAAATTCCTGCAGCAAGAAGGTGATGATTGCCGACGAGATGCGGTTTCATGTTACAATGCCCTACATCAATCGCAAACAACACAAAAGCCATCAAAACAGCTCATTTCTAAAGCAATGCTGCTTGGAGTGAAACTTCGGTGGAAATGTGCTCTGTCCAGGCACTGGGACCGCCGAACACAAGCCGCTCTTCTGAAGAGAAGAATGATCGAGAGCACCCGCATGCTGAGCATGCTGGATGTCTTTTGAAGTTTGACAACTGCAGAAGTTGCATCGGCAGACGTTCTGCGGTCAACTGCAGAAGTTGGAGAAAATACAACACTCAGGCGTTCGTTTCCGTGTCGGCCGGGTCTCGTCCTTCGGGTGAGGACGAAGAGGTGGCAAAAAGCTCTCACTGGACGGCAAGAAGGGCGGACGCTTCAACGATTTCTGCGCTGACTCCCTGAGTGTCCATTTCTCTTCCTTTGTGCGACAGCAAGAGCAAAGGCATTTTGCTATGATGAGGACGACTTGCATCAAGCCATAGATGACCAGAATGAGGTAGATACTCCACAAGAGTAGCTCTTGTGGCCTTCGGGGAATCCGTCCCTTCTGCCGTGGCAAAAGCTCTTCCAGCTCATCGATCGTGGAATTCACCAAGCTCGAGTTCCAACTGCAACTGGACTTCACCAACTCCTGCAACTCCGAAGCTGTGGCGTTCCAGGCCAGGCTCAGTGACGCCCAAAGCTCCTTGACGTCCTTTGTAGCAAAAATAGATGGAATCCAAAGAAACAAAAAAAAAGGAACGGAAGGCATCGGTCGTCCCAAGTGGTGACACAGCAGAAACATCTACATGTCATATACTTTCATTTACATAGCAAGATTCACATGTCTACATTGGCAAATCGGTTTTGAACAGCCAATAGAAGTCCTCCTCGCTTATGCCCACCTGCCGATACAGCTCAGGCATCGCTTGCAGCGCTGGACGTGTTACGTTAACCACAATCTCGGCACAATACTCTTGATAGAGCGCCATGATCAGATCGAAGGTCTCGTAGAGCATCGTCAGCTGCAGGATGGGCTCCTGACGAATGCCCAAGTGTGCAGCTCTAATTTGACCTTTTCAATTGAATGTTGCAAGTCATATGATGATGTTGGCAAGACTATATATACAAAAATGGCCGGCGATGCTGCTCCTTTGTCTCATCACCAGCTGCAAAAGCCCCAGCTGCGCAGCTTGCAAGTAGGAATCTCTGTATCGGCGACAGGAGGAGAAGCTCCATCTTGGCGGCTCGTCTTATACACCACACTGCCTCACCCTTTGTGTGCTGGATTTGGATTTGGAGGGGCACTTCTGGCACTTCCGTCCAGTGGATAGCCAAAAAGCAGATTGGCGGTTTTGCCCAGTGTTGCATGTTGTCCAATGAAAAAGACCCCTGGTGTGCAGCTTGGTTTTGTGGAAGAGGACTGTGACAGGGGTCCTCCCTCCTGTCCTCAACCTCTTGTTTTGGCCGCGTGTCCTTCACTTGAGTCAAAAAAGGCAGCATTGCTATTACAGCATATCGTCGGGCAGCGATGCTTGTTGCTTTTTACCGGTCCCCTCTCTTCATACCTCGGACATCCGAGGGGACCTACTCGGACCTGGGATTCTCAAGGCGGATCCGTTCGGTCATGAGACGAATAACGTCCAATGATGAGGTGGTGGGGCTCGCTGCAATCAGTTCCCCATCCCACCAATTTTAGAGATGAACCCTGTCGCTTTTGGGGCTGGCAAAATATCAGCAAATTGAACTGCTCACATAAATGCAACCCTCCTACACTTATGTCACTTATGTCTGTGTGTGTAAAGCATTTAGCGCTTACAGCAGTCACCAACAAGTCGAGGACATGCATTGAACAGCTTGGACCGAGCCTGGAGCTTCTGTTCAGTGAGTTCAGGGTACCTAGCCACGGAGCGTGCGGCTTGGTTCGGCGCGATGCAGTGACAGCACAAAAGTTGCAACCTTTGCACTGGCGTGATCAACTAAATCCAGATCTTTCGAAAGTGCTTGCAACTCTAAAAGTTGTCCACCCCACGAGAACGGGCACTCGATGAACTGCCGGAATTCAGTAAATGTCCTCTTCAGAGGGGACGGTGGAGGCTCAACCTAGGCAAAGTAAGCTGTCGTTTGCAGAACATGCCAAAACTGAAACCAACCTGCTGCCTCTTGAACCTTGGACTAAAGTTGTATGTCTGGGCTGCTTTTTGGCTTGATGGACATTCCTTTGGCCAATACGAATACGACTGGCACAAGTACTTGTACTTCAAAACGCAGAACTTGAACTTTCAGTCAAGGGCACGCAAGCATTAGGCTTGTTATACCTCCGTTGCTGAAGTGAGGCATGAGTGTGTTGCTTGCTCGAGTTTCGGTCGAAATGACAGAGAAGTAAACTGTTGATCTTTGGTAGATATGAGCAAGCTTTGCCATACAGAGAAGAATCGTCCGATTTTGATAGCCAAGGGGATGACCTAGTAATCATAGACGAGTGACGAGTCTGGCAAAAACGCATGTGTTTGGGCGTCTGGCCTGGGATATCCATCTTCGCACAAACTAACAAAGGGCCCGGCAAAGCCACAGATGCCATGAGGAAGCTCCAAGGGCCTTCATGGCCAGATGCACAGTCAACACTGAAAAGGCCAAGCACACCTCGCGCCTGAAAACAGCTGGTGAAACCAATTACAGTAGTTCATTCGTGTGATCTGTGATCAGCAGGCTACCCCGGGACGTTGACCTGAGAAAGATTCAGGCTCTCGACGAACTCAATCTTCCCTAGCTTAGCGAGCTTGGCAGTCATTGCTTCCCCCCTGCTGACGCTGTGAGGCACTGCGGGGGTACTGCTGAGCCTCTTGTTTGCACTTGGAGACTGCCTCATCTTGCCCCGCGAACTGGGGCTGTTCCACAAAAGAAAAGTAATGTGTTCATGTACCCGCTCGGCAAGCCGGTGGCACAGTGGCCTCATTGGCACATTCACTGGATCCATATGCATGATCCTGCTAGGGCCGGACGGACACACCAGTAGCTCGATCACAGTCGATCAACCCCAAGAAAAACAGCCTGAAACACTGCGAGATCAATGCACCAGCTAGAGTCCTGTGGATCGAGTGAGTCTTGCAACAGCTCATTGGCCATCCCATCTTCTCCCCTTCAACCACCTTAGTCCGCAAAGTCGGGCCTGATCATGCCTGATCCCTTTCAAGTAGGGATAAACAAAGGATACAAACAACTCTTTTTTTCGGAGAAGTTGTTGGATTCTCGGGAACAGGTTGTTCCCTAGCTGTGCCAATGGAGTCTATGGAGCGGCTGCATCCACGGCTGCATGCTAAGTCCAGCGCCAAGGTATGAGGATCCTTCCGTGCCAGGCGTATAGCCTTGAAAAAGCATGCCCATGACGTTCACAGTGTGACATGGGGACGACAGCAACCAGCAAGTAGCAACGGTCTGGATCGGCTCTAGGACGGTCTGATCACGGACAGAGCCCAAGAACAAAAAATGACTTGGACACTCTCTCCACTCAGTTTCTCAGCCAGTACTCCCATCCACTCCCTTCTTCCTCCTCGAAATCTCTTCTCACGAGCAACTCCTCGGCCTGATGGGGCAAGGCCAAGCTGGCATGCCCGAGGAAAGGTTCAATTGACTTGCTGTTTTGTAGAAGCAAAGAGGCGGAGGCACTTGCCTTTCTTCACACTTTTCTACAGTAAGTGGTAGCGTTCTTGTTTTGTTTGTAGTACGAGTCCGAGGCCCAAGACCAACGAATCGCCACAGGCTTATGTTGTTCGCTAGCCGTGCACCGACGACACGTCCGACACGTCGGACACCATCGCCTCCCCATCGCCGTAGACGATAAAAAGTCGCGGCTGAGGTGCCTCGAAGACACAAATTGGTCCACACATGCAAGGATAGGTTCGGCTCCTGATCGTCCTGTAGGGGTGCTTGAAGCAGCCAGAAGGTCGACTCCAGGACCCCCCGGGATTGGATGAATACACGTGGATGTCATTGGAAAAGAAGCATTGGTGGATATCTCGGTCACAATAGGTCAAAGCAAAAATGAAACACCCTGCGTGGTCACATTGAGGATAGGGCTCCTGCATGACATCGATTTCACACAAAGGTGTTCGAGTATGTTTAACGTTGCACGTATGCATCCACAGACATATCACACGATTAAATTGGCCATATCGCAGGGTAGGACGCAATCTATTGAGATCCAGGTCGTCCATGGTCGGTCCAACTTGGTCTTGCTCCACATCTTCCACATTACTTACTTGAGGGCAACAAAGGCGGCCGCCTGCTCTGGAAGTGGCAAAAAGGAGGCGTCGGGGTGCTTGAAAGGCTTCTGTGGGCATACACCTCATGGCACAAGAATGTTCGCTTTGAAGACAACGTATTGTTCACTGAAATGGATTGCGAATACTAGATGAGTAGACGTACAAACGAAGGTAGAAAGATCCAGCTTTTTGCCCAGCCATGGGCAGCCGGATCGCAGCTTGGAAGGGTGGGTCAAACCATCTGGGCACTTTCTTGTCAAGAAATGCTTCAACCACTAACCTATTCGATCTGTAAAGCCTACCTGAAGGGTCGAACAAATCTCGAGCAAATCTGCGCTGCCGACATCTTGGCGATGCAAAGTCATCTCCCATGGACACAGAGAGCTTGAAGTCCAAAGACTGATCCCCCTTCACCTGGCGGTCTCCATGCTGTGGAAAACTCCTTGAAACTCAAACTTAGGACAAAGCCTGTTGCATGAGCTTGTTGTCAGAAGAGCATCAAAACATGCTGTCGAACAATGCAGTTGAGTTTGATTGAAGTTAAAGGTCACATTTTGCATCAGTTTGTGGCATCATCCGTGGTAGCTTCCG